TTTGTTATATTTTTTAATAAAAAGCATTTAATAAAAACCAATGTCATCTAGATTTTTTCCTCTGTTCTAGGAGTTTTATAATTTTCCATTTTCCATTTAGGTCTATGATCCATTTTGAGTTTTTTTTGTGAAGGGTATGAAGTCTGTATCTAGATTCATTTCTTTACAAGTGGGTGTCCAGTTGTTCAAACACTATGTGAAACTTTTTTTTTTTCCCTATTGCATTTCCTTCGTTCCTTTGTCAAAGATAAGTTGTCTGTATTTATATGAGTCTATTTCTGGGCTCCCTATTCTGTTTTATTGATATGCTTGCCTTTTCTGATCTATTGTTCTTTCACCAGTACCATACTGTCTTAATTACTGTATTTGTAATACAGTGTATTTGAACACAATGGATGCCACTTATAACAGCATGATTTAAGATGATTTAAAATTTTAAACATAGTCAAGATGAGTAAGTAGAAAATATTAACTGGAATATTTGGAAAAGGCCATTTCCTCTTAGTTGGATAGCTTTTGTGTGAGTGGATGTGTGTGCTTGAAAATAAGGGCATTTTGTTATACACATGTTACAGTAATCATTTTTCTAGGAAAAAATTCTTTTAGTTCATATGATAAGATCATTGACATCATAATAGTAGCTAACACTTCCATGGACATCATTGTTTGCCAATCACATTTAAGTACATCACACATTCATCTCATTTAATCCTTGCCTCAGCCCTTTGAAGTAGGTAGTAATATCAATCCTATTCTACAGATAAGGAAACTTGAGGCTCAGAGAGGTTAAATCCAAGGCCACACAACCAGTAGGTGGTGTTGCCAGGATTCTAATACAGGTAGTCTAACTCCAGAGTCTGTACTTTTAACCACTACACTATCAATATCCCCTGATGCACCTTAGCAGATTTTACAGCACTATTCAAATATCTCAAGCACTGTTAACAAGGTATAAAAGAGACTTGGTTTACTTATTCTTGGATAAGAAGCATCAGGGAATGGAAGTCATAATTCACTAACATTAATATTAGATGAGAAATTTCAGGTCTGAATGTACCCAGTTAAAGAATTAAATTAATTAAATTTAAATTAAATTAAATATTAATAGAAGTTTTCAGCAGGAATATCAGTAAACAGAAATCATTTGTCTTCAAGTATTTCAGTGATGATCTAAATTTTAATTGTACTTTCATCTGAGACTTTAGAAGGCATACTGTCTTTCTCTGTATTTATTATAAACTGAGAAATGGTTTGCGAGTTGGAGAAATAAAACTTGTTTTCTTATCATCTATGAATACAGCCAAAGTAGAAGGTAAAGATGGTATCAGTTGAATGATTAGTTATAAACTTCTAGGTTTTTTTTGGTAGTTAAAATACTACCTTTAGTTCTCATTATCTAAACATATTTAATATTTAAATTGTGATTGTAAAATAAAAAAGAACTCATACTTCTGTAAAAAATGATTTCTATGTACTTATTATTAAAGTATAATATTCCAAGAAGGGAACTTTGTTAAATCTATTAAAAATAAAATGTAATGTCATTAGAATATTTACTTAATTCTGGCCCTTGGCTCCCCTCAAATTTATTATTAAGCACAAAAGTTTTGTTGCTATTAACTTTTATAAACAAAATAATAAATGTAAAGTTTTATGATTTGGTTGAAAAAATTAAAATCATTTCTTTAAAATACATTGTAACTGTCCTTCAATTAGAGAGAAACCACCCAGCATAAGAACTTGACCTTGTAAACTACAAACATTAAAGAATCTCAGTGTTTGTAATTTTCTTTTAATAAAGGGAAGAAAATTGTGTTTTCATGGAATAATCTCATCAATGTTTGAGTGGTAAAAATTAAAAAACACAAATGCTAATTTCATTTCTTTGTTAAAAATATAGCCTTAAAGAAATTAAAGGAAAAAGGATGCTTTCCTAACTCACTAGTTTTTGTTCATGCTTTCTGCCACATATACACATACCTATGAAATCAAATAAGCAATGATTTATGTAATTTCTAAAGTGTTTCAAATAGACTTATTATGTAATTTTTTGGTTTTTATTTTTACTTTTAAAAATACATTTATTAAATGAACATTTACATCTCTGCTCCATTTACCCTACAGGCTGCCATTACTTTTCCTTTTACACACTCTATTTTGTCATGATAACTATTTACAGGGAAACAACTGCTCTTGCACCGCACCCCCCACAAAAAAAAAAGCAGCCCACATTCATTTCAAACAAACGTGGATGAAGAAAATTCAATACAAAGTGATTATGTAATGGATTTTCAGCTCTTAAGTGGTAGAAGAGACAACTCAGTCTGAAAAAGTAAATGTAAGAGTAAAATGTTTCTCAAGTACTATGTAGTTTAATGACCACATTGATTTATTAGCATCTTGTGTGTAATTGCAGTGGGTATATTTGTATATATAATTTTTCTTATTATTTTCTAAGGACAAGTTTCCAGGTATGATATTTATAGTGCTTCTGAAATCATTTTAAATAAACCATTCCCAAATATTGGAAAGAATTATTTATACCACTTATTTTAACAAAACCTAGTTAGATTATTTTTTCATTTAAAGGCTTATAATTGCCTCCTTATTAACTTGGAGTTCCAAGTTGAGGTGAATTCTTGCATTTCAGCACTACTACTCTTATCCTTTTGTTATTTATGATATTTGAAAAAATATGAAAATCGTTTATCACCCTTCTTTCTGCGTGATGAGCCAGATTTCTTTCCATTTGTTGATATGTTATGCATCTTTCAGAAATGGGAAAGATCTAGTAGTTTTTGGCTTCTAAAATCATTTAACATGTCAATTCCTGATAATATTTCTAGCTTTCTGAAAATGATTGACTCAGATAAGAATCTGGTTTTTTTTTTTTTAGTTCCCAGAATTGCCTTCCAGAACAATTTAATACTTTTTATACTGCTATACCAATGTTCTTTGATAATGAATATTTAATAGACTTTTCTTAGAAACTAATTCTAGAATACATGATTTTTATTATATTTTTATTCTACTCTCAGTGCTGATCCTTGCACTGGATTCCAAATTGCAATATGCTTTTCTAAAAAGTAAGAGTCTTAAGGTGACTTTTGATCTTAGCATTTCCCCCCAAGTTTTTTGGACTTGGAAAGTTTATCTTTTGACATTGAGTATTCCTTGGTGGTACTAAAAATTTTTGCTGAATAGCTTACAAACCTCTGTAACCTGTAAGTAGGCTAGATAGATACTATATCTTTCTATATCAAGGTGTTTTTAAAGTAGAGTTTTGAGAAATAGTAAATCTTAAGCTGTTAAAATGCACAAAGATGAACATTATGAAAGAATTGCTGAATCATTTTCATAAGGCTGCTTGGTTTATAGAGTAGGCGTTCCCATATTGTTAAAGGTTAACATGATCATTGCCTTTTCATTATCCTCTACACATATATGTACATTTAGTTTTTCTCATAAATGCTCTTTTTTCCTTTCATTTTACAGACTTAAGATATTTAAATACAGTGCTCTGTGCAATTCTTTTGATATTTACTTATCAACCCATCTTTCCAATATTAGAACTAGGAGTGTTTTTGAAAAGATGAAGAAACTATGTAGAAGATAAAAGATGAGTTATATACACTGAAAATATTTCTTATAAATATCCAAAATGTATATTAGAAAAGCAGGCATCAAAACAGTTATAAAGGATATATGACGTAAACTTTTTTAATACAAAATAGAAAACTACCAAAAATAACCATAAATATTCATAGCAAAAGAAAGGATTAGAAGGAAATATACTGACATTTATTGAGGATTACCTAAAGTGGTAAGATAGGAAGTTTTTTAAGATTAAAAACTTTTTTTCTGTCTTTTTTCTTTACATGTTTTCCAAAATCATCAATGAGTGTTTATAATTAGGGAAAATGTGTTTTTAAAAGAAAAAAATATTTCTCATATTATACCTTGTAAATAGCATATCCAGATTCTAAGCTGATTCAGTTAAACTCTTAAAAGAAAGGTGAGTTTTTACTGCCTGAAACCTGATACTTTTTCCTGTCTTTCCGGAAGCAGGACAAAAATTCTTTAAATAGTGACCCTAGGAATGAGGAGGGCCGATCTCATTCTGTTTTAGTTGAAGTAACTAAATCAGATATGAACCTTTCACAAATATTAGTCTGCCTGAACTATTAACTATTGCATACTACAAAAAACCCCACAAAACTTATTAAAATCATCAGCTAAAGACATATTTAAGTCCTTTACTTATTTTAAAATATTGCTTTTGATATTTATGATATATAGCCTTTTACAATGTGAAATTCCTGGCATTTCTGATTGCAGACCCTAGGAATTTTGAAAATGACACAAATTATTTGACAATTTTAATTTAAATATACCATATTTTAATACTGTATATCTTAATTTGAATGACTTGAAGTTGAAATTAAAATAACTAAAATAAGTATTTTTATTTGAATATATCTAATTTTAATAAGATACTTAATGGCTAGAATGATATTTTTGTTGCTTTTTCACCTAGAATGCAGTAAGTAAATGTGTAGTTACGATATTCTATGCTGAAATACTGGTTTCTTAATCCACTTGGCCTCTTAAAAAGGAAACAAATGTGGTAGAGCCAGAAGGAAAATGAATAGTTAATCGTGGAGGAGGAGAAAACCTAGCTCGGTACTGTGACTAGAGGCAGCTGGGGAAGTGACGTCCTGTAGCGTTTGCTGTTCTAGAAAGTGCAGAGACACGTAGTGAAAATGGGAGGATCTAGAAGGAGGCCGGCTCCCGGGTAGTGTATATTTATCTGTAAGTGAGCCGTTGGGGAAGGAATTAAATACTGAGACGCTGTCTGCTTGCTGCCTTAATTGCTGATTTGCTTTAACTTTTAAAATACCCAGCTTGGTTTATTTTTCTTAGAATCATTGTATTGCTAAGACTGGGGACGCTGTTTTCTTTCACAAAGGGATATCTAAGTTCATTTCAAGGCACTCGAAATGGGGAAAGACTATTATTGCATTTTGGGAATTGAAAAAGGAGCTTCAGACGAAGATATTAAAAAGGCTTACCGAAAACAAGCCCTCAGATTTCATCCGGACAAGAATAAATCTCCTCAGGCAGAGGAAAAATTTAAAGAGGTCGCAGAAGCTTATGAAGTATTGAGTGATCCTAAAAAGAGAGAAATATATGATCAGTTTGGGGAGGAAGGTAAGAATTCAGTGTATATCTTTCTGTCTCTCTTTTTTCTCTGTCAGCTTTGTGGTTATTCTCTGACATTTCAAAAGTAGAAAGACAAATAATGGATAAAAGCAAGATTTCATCCCTGATCATATGAATGAATGTTACATAGCTATGAATGAAATGTACCTGTTTGCCCTTTTTTGGATTTTGACATTTTGTGTAACATATATGTTCTGCCATTAGATTTGTATTGTTAGCATTGTATTTGAAAAGAACCTTAAATTCCCATACTCATTAAGAAATTGTGTCAAAAGTCTTATGCAACCTGTTTTTTTTTTTTTCCTAATGAATTTTCTGCCAGAGCCAATAAAGATTCTTCATTTAAAATCTTAAGATTGGCAGTTCAAACTCTGGGTAGTTTATATTTTATTCACAAAAACAAAAGTAGTCTTTTGCCTTTCTTATGGCAAAGCTAGTTTAGATTAAACAGGACAGAATCTTCTCTCTGAGAAGCCGAAGGCCCAGGCATTTAGCTGTAGTTGTTTTTGGCATTCTGCCTGGAGAGGAAAGAATTTTCCTGATGTCATAAAATACCAGAACAAGTTTTTAGCTTAATTGTAAACAGTAATTGTGTGCCAAGAAACTGAGATCTCAGAAATGCAATTTTTGACCTAAAATGGCCACCTCCTTAGAACAATGACTGATTTACTTTAAGATAACATTATTTCTTTTGAAATTTTACTATCTAGGTGTAGAGGAAGGCATGATAACTTCCCTTTCCTCTCCCTGCCACACTTTTGTTTCTTGGATTGTGAGATCTGAAACTAGTTGAATACAGTAAATGGGAGTAAAATTTAAGATTATCCTTTTATCATTCTGGATTTTAAATTGTCCATCATTGCCATATAAATGTAGCTGTAAAGTAAGACAATTTAAAATTGCTAATTAACAGCAACAAGAACATTTTAATTTTTACAAGTTCTGGAATTTCAACTTTTTATATCAGGACTAAGTTATTTTATTACTAATTTTTCTCCCCAAATATTATTTTAAAATCATTCATTGTAGTTATGAAAACTTTTTTTTTTGCTTTGTTGCATTTAATGTTAAATTTCCCTAATTAAAAATCTATCTTAAAATACAATGAAGTGGTGACTGCTTATTTTGAGTTAAAGAGTTAAATTTAGTTAAGCAGGGTAATTGTGTAGAGGTGTTTTTTTTTTTTTTTTTTCTTGTTATGCTTTTTCTTTTTGATCTGAGTTGCCCCAAATTGCAGTTTCTGCTGCTATGAGGACCTGCAGTGTCAGGTTCCTGCAGAGTAAAGATCGGAAAAAGCAAGCAGTGGGCAGTTCAGTCCTTCTGGTTCCTTATGGCCGTACTACTCAAAATGCTATGATTTGTTTCATCTCAAAAGCTAAGCAGGATTCTCAGATACTACCAGCTATATACTACTCTTTCTGAAGAAGTTATTTTGTAATTTTGTAAAGATACCTACAAACTCGGTGTAACAGTATGAATTCCCATGAAAAAGCAAATATCCATTGATTTAATCCATAGCTCACTAACAGCCCAAATCTGTCTATAACTAAACCATAAGATTCAGTGTTTCTAAGGATATTTATCTTCAGAATTTTCAAGTCACCAAATGATACATTTTTCTTGGCTTAACATTACCTCTTAATAGTGTTTTTCTTGAATTATATTTCTCCAGTTTGATTTTTACTGAGTGTCATCAGTGAAGTGAATTTTTAAAAAACTAAAACAGGATCATCTATGTACCCCAAATCTTTTATTGTTCTTGAATTAGATAATTGATATAAGCAATAGAAGTAATAGTGAAGGAAGAATAAGTTTTTTAAAGCATTGAAATATATTATTCAGAAATACTGTTATCTACTTATATTACTTTAAAATAGTTAAAATGAAAGTTATTTGATTATGTCTTAGAAATTATTCTTCCTTTACAGAAAAGCATTATAATTATTTATCCTTTATTCAAAATATCTCATTAAGTATACTGTTAAAACGTGGAAAAATATTTTTGTTTCAAAAAAAAAAATTTTTGTTTCTTCGCCTGTCATTTATCTGTTTGTGCTTGCAGACCTGGTTGCATAGCCCTCTGTGTTTCTCTAGAAGTAACAAAACACTAATTTACCTGATACACTTTTCCCCCTGAATTATTACATTCTCTTGTACAACCTGAAGCTGTGGGAATAAACCATGAACTGAGAATTGTATGAGTTAAACATGATAAATTTGTATATTTAGGACCTAGGAGAGCCAGTGATCCCAGTATATTTGTGTTTTGAAAATGTCTAATATCCACAATTTTAAATGCTGGGTTTTAAAAAGCTGGATAAAAAAAGAGGTGTTTTAAATTTACCATATGACCCAGCATTTCCACTCCTGGGAATCTGTAAAAGGGAAATGAAAATACAGGTCCACACAAAGACATGTACATGAGTGTTCATTGCAGCATCATTTGTGATGGCCCCAAATGAAAATATCTGAAAGTATCATCTTTTAGTAAATGGATAAATGAAGTGTGGTATATATGTATACACACACAGACAGACACACACACTATTTAGCAATTAAAAGGACTGATTTAATAAAACATGCTTTGTAAATGAAATAACCTAAAAAATCATGTCATATGTAAATGACTGCATATTCTATTATTCCATTTATATGAAATGCATGGAAAAGGTAAATTTATAGACAAAGAAAGCAGATCAGTGGTTGCCTAGAGCTAGAGGTGGTAGCAAGGATTAACTCCAAATAGAAATGAAATTACTCTTTGGGTTGATGGAAAGAAATGTTTTACAACTGGATTGTGGTGATGGCTGCACAGGTCTATAACTTCACTAAGACCATGGTATATTTACAATGGGTTACTTTTATAGTATGGAATAAATAAAACTTTTATAATAGAGACATTTCTCCATAGTTGAATAATTTGAAAACAAAAAACATAGAGCTCCTGAAACTTGAAATTGGATTTTGATCTAATTTCTCCCCCAAAGTTTTAGGTTTAGTTCTGAATTGTTCTGTGAATGTCAACAGAAGTTCATATTAAAAGACTTAAAAACAGATTTTCAGTAACACATCCTTTTAGTGGCCTAGTTTTCTAACATTTCTTTCTCTTCGTATCTTCCTTTTTTTTTTTTGTTTCACTCAATAACTTAAAATTTCAACACTGAAAGGTATTATTTATATGACCAAATCTGTGTTTAGTACATTAACCTTTATACTAGCTATTAATCTTTATACTAGTTTGCTGCTTCTGTTCTTTATATAGTTAATTAACAATCTGTTTACTATATATTTAAAAAATAAGTAAATTGGATTTCTATGAATCAAAACTTTAAAGAATCTCATTGTGCTAGTTAACTCTAAGTATTGTTATAAATCTGGATTTTTGTATATTAGATCTCCTTAAAAGTAGTTATTAAAGTCATATAATTGTTTTTTCCTTGAAGTGCTAATTTTTCTCCAGCGCTGCTTCTTTTGATAAACTTTAATCAACTACTTAATGGATATCATTGTTATGAATAATATCCCAGACACATAATATTTTTTTGGATTGCAAATTGGTTGGTGGCTTGTTTTTTAAATAATAGCAGTCTTGGTACAACATAAGTAAATGTTGACTCTGGGATACATTTCTTGCTCACAGGAAGTGATGATGGTGTCTAGAAAAAATTTTGGATAGCATAGATAGTCTAGCTGCATACTAAAAGTTTCCATGAGCAGTCAAAATGTATGTAGTGGAAAGTTGACTGTATAGTTGATGACAGGCTTGTTCAAGTGCTGGGCAATGCAAGTGATACTTGCATAATAATTCATGTTATATTGGTGTGAATTTTGGTAGGATTTTCTCAGTCACAGTAGTACACAGTTGACTGTTTAGTGTCAAAGCTTTATTGGAGGGTGTTTGTTATCTTTAATGAACGTCAGTTCAAACAGTGTGTGAATCTTCTCAGGGACTCAGTAATCCTGCTTGAGTTACCATTTTTGGCAAAGGGCAATTGGGGAAAAGCCAAACGCATGATGTAATAACTTAAAATGTAATTCTTTCTTTTCATGAATCCATTATACATCCAAAACAGTTAGATTTTGTCTTGTAAAGGGCTCAATTGGGCAGGCTAGTTTACTCAGTTTACTTTATGAACTCTGTTAAATCATTATACTCTATTTGTGGGATGAAAAATGGAGTAATTGAAATAATTTAGTATTGGTTTAATCACATTGGTAATGACCTTGAGTTATATACATATTCTATCATTTAAAAAAAAAATCTGCCACTAACTTTTTTTTTAACATTTGGAGTTATAACTATACCACTAAAATTTAGAGAAAGGAGTTTTGAATGAGCTGTATGTTAAATGCTCTTGTGCTGCTTATACTTGTCATTGCTTTCTACAAGGCATGTCCTGAGTGAAAGATGCCAGATAGAATAAGACATTTAAAACTCTCTGAGAAAGCATGCTGAGTGACTTCCGTAGAGTTTTTTACCATTAAATTTCTCATATGTGTATGTGTAATTATACTTTATGTTGTTTTTGCTTCTGCCTTTTCTCTGTCTTGACACTGAAGACACATCTTAGTGTTTCTTTTGAACACTTTAAAAAGTGTTCTTCCCTGTATTCAACACACATGAGTGGCTGTCATTTTCAGAACTGTATGCATTAACAGTGCAAAAATGAATAAAATGTATTTCCTGCCCTCAAATTACTCACTGATGAACATATTTGAACCTCTTAGTTTAATACTCTTGGATTTTTTTTTTTTTTTACAGTTTTATAATTTTTAGGTTCTGTTCCTGCTTGTTTCCTTGGTCAGGAATGCCCGTAAGGATCATCCAGAAAGTTTGCTGAGACTGGAATGATATAAATCCTTGTCAGTATCGATCCCTTAGAAAATCACTGTACTGTTGTTTTGTAGGTTTTAGTAGAATCTTTCCTCAGTATGTAGTAGAAAATGCTACTTCAAATATGTTATACCTTGTGAACTACTAATTGCTTAGTTGAGTCTTAGAGGACAGGATCAAAGAGTCACTGTCTTGGTGTCAGAAGCAGGTTGTCCATAATAGACAAAAATAACCAGCCCAAAGGTCTTACAGGTCAAAAGGGTTTACAGCTTATGATTTCACTTTTCTTTTTACATGCTGTTGAAATTAATGCTATCATGTGACATGCCTAGATAAACAGTTTCATTATTTAGAATATGGATAGTAATTTTAGTGACTAAAATTTTCTGTTAATGGGATTTTTTCCCTTTCTGCCATGAATGAATTCTATTCTAATTCTCAAACAGTAAAAGATGATCTGAAATAAAGATAGTTATTTTGAATATGATATTTTATATCACTGATATGTGTTCACTGATTATGATGGTGCTCAAAGATGTAGGTTACATATTTTGTTTGCATTGATTACTGAAGATCTTTCGATTGACATCTTTTTTTTGTTGTTGCTATTTTTAAAATTATATTTAAAGTATAGTTGATTTACAGTGTTGTATAAATTTCGGCTGTGCAGCAAAGTAATTCAGTTATACATGTATATATTCTTTTCCATTATGGTTTGTCACAGGATATTGAATATAGTTTCTGTGTTATACAATAGGACCATGTTGTTTATCCACCCTATATATTATAGTTTGCATCTGCTAATCCCAAATTCCCAATCCTTTCCTTCCCCAACCCCTTGAATGACATTTTTTAAAAACCTAAATTTATATACTTCAGATCATCAAACCAGTAGCTTATAAGAGGTTCCCAATTTATATTTATTTTCTTTTTTATGCATGGAACAAAGAGTTGGGAATAAATTATTGTTAAAGATGGGGATTTGGAGAAGGAATCTGAAAGCTAAAAATTTAACTTAGGGTGGAATGATTGGTAGTTAAATGGTTGTTTTGTATTTAGTTATAATGGCATTTCTGACCAATATTAATAAATAGCAACCTAAGTTAGCCAAAGTTTATGAGTAATACAATTTTTGAAAGTTTAACTTTCAAGAGTTGTAAGTATTTTTCTAACCATGCTTATCTTCTCATTTAGGGTTGAAAGGAGGAGCAGGAGGTACTGATGGACAAGGAGGTACCTTCCGGTACACCTTTCATGGTGATCCTCATGCCACATTTGCAGCATTTTTTGGAGGTTCCAACCCCTTTGAAATTTTCTTTGGAAGACGGATGGGTGGTGGTAGAGATTCTGATGAAATGGAAGTAGATGGAGATCCTTTTGGCGCTTTTGGATTCAGCATGAATGGATATCCAAGAGACAGGAATTCTGTGGGGCCATCCCGCCTCAAACAAGATCCTCCAGTTATTCATGAACTTAGAGTATCACTTGAAGAAATATATAGTGGTTGTACCAAACGAATGAAGATTTCTCGGAAGAGGTTAAACCCTGATGGGAGGAGTTATAGAACTGAGGACAAAATTCTCACCATCGAGATTAAAAAAGGGTGGAAAGAAGGCACCAAAATTACTTTTCCAAGGGAAGGAGATGAAACACCAACTAGTATTCCAGCAGACATTGTTTTTGTCATTAAAGATAAAGATCACCCCAAATTCAAAAGGGATGGGTCAAATATAATTTATACTGCAAAAATTAGTTTACGAGAGGTAAGTTATTAGGACATCAGATTCTGAAATCAAACAGAATTATGCATGTAATCTTATGGAATTTACCTAAATAATAACTAACATTAATGTTTACTACACAACATTCTTACAATTTTCATAAGAACCCTCTAAAGTAGTACTACTGTTTTGCCTCTTTTGTAGATAAGATTATATTTTCTAAGTAGTTATTTATACTAGCAATTTAAATGCCAATTTTAAGTGCTAGCTAGATTATATACTATGAGGCCTACCTAGTATGGATTATCTGTCCTCTGTTTTTGCAGTTTGTCAAATCTGCATTGTAATCTCATTACCTTAGTCCATATATAAGATTTCTTCCAAAGTTGTTAACTTTTAATAATTATATAACAAATAAGGTATTAAAAGACAAAATAAGTTATGATGGTACTACTTTAATATATTAGTTTGTATTTATTCTATTTTTAGGCACTGTTTCTCAAATTGGATTATAATCCTGCAAATATGCCCATGTCAGTTCCCTGCTTAAAATTCTTAGATAGCTTCATAGAGCATCTACCATAAAGTCTATACTCTTTAGCTTAAACTAACAGGTTGTTTTTAATCTAATTTCTACCCATACGTGTGCATACATTTCCCTAAGTTTGGTATATTGTTATCTTGTATGCCTCTGTCTTTGTGTTGTCCTCTATGGAACACTGCTATTCCTTGCTCTGCCTCAACACTTACAGATGGTCCAGTGCTTACCTCAAGCAATCTGTATTCCCAGAAGCTAAGGGGGTGCGTTGGGTGCCCTTTGTCTCACAAAAGAATTCTGCACATACTTCTCTGACAACTTTATACTGTATTATAATTACTGGTTTGCTTCTGAATTCTTTGTGCATTCCTTGTGGTGGGGGTCTGTGTTCATGGTCCCTGTATGTTCAGCATCTAGCAGAAATATATGGCATATGTGGTACTCAGTAAATATTTACTGACTAAAACAAGAAATATATTTGTTGTCCTAACGTTTTCACTCCAGAGAAGTATGTAGTTGCTCCTGTCTTTTTCTTTTTGATTCTTACTTTCTCCCTCTTCTCTTCTCCCATTCCATCCTTGCAACTTGCATAATAGCAGCCTCAAACAGTTCATTTCATTCTAGGACAATGTGAAAGACATTCTTTCCTCCTCTTTTCCTTTTTCCTTTTCCTTTCCTTCCTCTTCTCCTTTCCTTCTTTTGTAAACTATCTGATTATGTGTGTCCTGAAGGGACTTTTTAATAGGGAAAAAGTCTTAAAATTATTGATTTTCTTTTGGAGGTTAAAAATTTACCTTAGAATCGTTCTTTACAGCTGGTAATGTTTTTGTTTAGACTTTTATATTTTGAAGTTTGTTAATTTTATTTGGTTCATTTTAGGCGTTGTGCGGCTGCGCAATTAATGTGCCAACCATGGATGGAAGAACCATACCTATGACAATAAATGATATTGTGAAACCTGGAATGAGGCGAAGAATTATTGGATATGGGCTACCATTCCCGAAAAATCCTGACCAACGTGGTGACCTTCTAATAGAATTTGAGGTTTCCTTCCCAGATACTATATCCTCATCATCCAAAGAAGTACTTAGGAAACATCTTCCTGCCTCATAGAATGAAAAACTTTGTTAACCATATTTTGATAAGGCACTGAAAATATAAAAGGACTGGCCATTTACTGATGTAGATGTGAATTCTGTATAAAGACATGTAAATTATTTTGAGGGTTCATTACATTGCATGAACAGAGACGGGTCAAATAAAAAGGCAAAAGGGATTTTTGCAGTTAGAGATGAAGAGAAAACCACTCACTGTATTTTATTTCATTTCTCCCAAGTCAGAATTTTTTAGTATTTTGCTTACATGTAAAATTCATTTCTGTGGAGTTAATAGATGTATTTCTAATAAAGTACTAGGCTATTCAAGTACTTTATTTCTTATATATTTACACTGTCAGTGTGATAGGTTCTCGTTTATAATGGAAATTTAAATTCTTAACTAAACTATACATGTGATAGGTACTTCTAGAAAAGAAGAACCCAAGTTACTTGGAAATCTGGTTAACTAGATTAAAATCATATGAAATGCTGCTATAGGGCTGGTACCCATAAAAAAGTATCCTAATACATATATTTCATCATTTTGATTTTTAAAGTATGCTGTAGCATTTCTTAATAACATAGTTATAATGTTCTTATGACAGACCTTTTCTTCATAAAAAGGAAATTAATGGCAATTTATCTCCTGTGGAAATCCCAATTGCCTGAATTACTGCTATTTTAGAAATAGGTTGTTTTTAAAATGCCATATATAATTTTATGCAAATTAACTATATATCTTGGACTTAATAAATTATAGGTACATTTTATTGTCCATTAGTTAAGGATAATTTGTTTGATAATAAACGTGTTTTTAGAGGAAATATTGTTACTTGGAATTAATTTTCCAATTACACAGTCTTCTATAACTTACTCATAATATGCTGTATGTACCATATGCAATTTCCCTAAAAAGAATAAACTACCACTATGGTGTTAAACCAAAATATGGGGAAAATAAACACTAACTGCTGCTTATGAATGATGTTGTTACTACTTGTTATGCATATAAATATTTTACTTTTTCATATGTATAGATTGCATTTCTTAGGTGCTTTAATTTTTTAAATATATTTACGTTTAAAAAATTATTCTGTTTTCTGTTTTATAGCTATAGTAAGAATGATATTTTGAAACAAAGTTTTTGGTTCAAAAGAAATTTTCAGGATAATTGGTATACAAGGTTTATTGGACCCTATCACTTTTTAGCAGAATATGGTCTTCTTTTAGAAATTCAAAACATATACTTTATTCAAAACATATACTTTACAGCTTTATTGAGATATAATTCTCATGCTAAAAAGTTTACCATTTTAAAGTACACAATCCAGTTGTTTTAGTATATTCACCTTATATAGCCACTTTGTAATTTTAAAACATTTATATCACCCTAAAAAAACCCACATAACCATTAGCACTCACTTCCCATTTCTCCAGCACCTGGCAAACACTAATCTACTTTCTACTCCTATGGATTCATCAATTCTGGGATTAAATAATATTTGGCTTTTTTGTTTATTTCTTTCACTTAGCATAATGTTTCAAGATACACCCATGTTTCCTCATTCAGTACTTTGTTCCTTGCTTTATGGCCGAATAATATTCTGTTGTTTGGATATACAACATTCTGTTTATCCATTCATTAATTGATGGGCATTTAGGTTATTTCCACTTTTTGGCTATAATGAATAATGCAACTCTGAACATTTTTGTACCACTTTTTCTATACATAATTTTTAAATTTTCTTGGGTATATACCTCAGAATAAAATTGTTGGAGATAATCATATACTTTAATTGCAAATGGAAAATCCTTGAAAATGTCAGAGAATTCATAATCATGCATATTATTCCATTAATTCATAAATGATTCCTTTATAACTTTCTCTAAATGACAGTTAAAGCTCCTTAAGGAAGTGTGAGCGTCATGATTTTCTCACATCTAAAGAGATAAGAGCTGAAAAGCATCAGTGAGAGTGGTAGGCGTGGTTTCTATTTTAAACCCACTGCCATTATTTTCTTGATTAAGCATTTTCTCCCAAGTTAAATGATTTGTAGATTAGATAGATGAATGATCTTTGGATTAAAGAGTATTTGTTAAAGTACAGAATTATTCTAATAGTAAAAAAAAATTAATTGGCATTGCCATATAAACACAGTTTATCGGGGATACCCTGGTGGTCCTGTGGTTAGGACTCTGCTCTCTCACTGCCAAGGCCCTAGGTTCAATCCCCGGTCAGAGGACTAAGATCCCACAAACTGTGCGGCACAGGCAAAAAATAAACAGTATATCAGTATCTCCCAGGTCTTAAAAGGTATCAATAATGCTAAGTGCCCAATTTTCATTTGTTGAGTGTTGACTTAATGTAGAAATAGAGTTTTAAAGTTTTCTTACTTGCTTATCTTATGAAGGTAAGATTTTGATTTTAAAAGGTTCTCTTAATGTTAAACAAGGTTCTTAGATACCTGGAATAGTTTTGAAAGTATTGTGGATCTTAGTAAGCTAATAGATAAAATATTACCTATCCTACAACTGAAATTTAGTACATCATCTCTGTAGCTTATTAGAGTTTTGGGTTTTGTGAATGTAGTTCTCCTTTTCTTTTCTCTTTTGGCCCCACCACGTGTCTTGCTGGATCATGACCTGGGATAACCGCAGCCTATGGGCTATGAAAGGACCGAGTCCTAACCACTGGACTGCCAGGGAATTCTCAGTTTATCTAAATATAATTCTTAAGCCATTCTTATAAAGAGGAAACTGGAGATTTAGGAAAAGAAAAGTGGAGATTTATGTCATTCACATAAAGGGAATGACAGGAAAATGCAACCTTAAACATGAGAAATAAAACAGAGGCAAAGAACTCTACTCCTGTTTCTGTTAAAGGGATGGCGCTGAGATGAAGATAAAAAACTTGGACCAGAAGTACTCCTGTATTAAATTGTAATAGGAGGTCTATGTTAGAGAAGAGCTTGAGAAATTATTTAGTTTTGTTTATCTAATAGATTAAAGTTTGCACAGTGTTGTTTTTTTTAAATTTTTTTTTTATTAGTTGGAGGCTAATTACTTTACAATATTGTAGTGGTTTTTGTCATACATTGACATGAATCAGCCATGGATTTACATGTATTCCCCATCCTGATCCCCTTCCCACCTCCCCCTCCACCCGATTCCTCTGGGTCTCCCCAGTGCACCAGGCCCGAGCACTTGTCTCATGCATCCAACCTGGGCTGGTGATCTGTTTCACCCTAGATAATATACATGTTTCGATGTTGTTCTCTCGAAACATCCCTCGCCTTCTTTCCCAGAGTCCAAAAGTCTGTTCTGTACATCTGTGTCTCTTTTTCTGTTTTGCATATAGGGTTATTATTACTATCTTTCTAAATTCCATATATATGTGTTAGTATACTGTAATGGTCTTTATCTTTCTGGCTTACTTCACTCTGTATAATGGGCTCCAGTTTCATCCATCTCATTAGAACTGATGCAAATGAATTCTTTTTAATGGCTGAGTAATATTCCATTGTGTATATGCACCACAGCTTCCTCATCCATTCGTCTGCTGATGGGCATCTAGGTTTCTTCCATGTCCTGGCTATTATAAACAGTGCTGTGATGAACACTGGGGTGCACGTGTCTCTTTCAGATCTGGTTTCCTCAGTGTGTATGCCCAGAAGTGGGATTGCTGGGTCATATGGCAGTTCTATTTCCAGTTTTTTAAGATATCTCCACACTGTTCTCCATAGCAGCTGTACTAGTTTGCATTCCTACCAACAGTGTAAGAGGGTTCCCTTTTCTCAACACCCTCTCCAGCATTTATTGCTTGTAGACTTTTGGATAGCAGCCATCCTGACTGGCATGTAATGGTACCTCATTGTGGTTTTGATTTGCATTTCTCTGATAATGAGTGATGTTGAGCATCTTTTCATGTGTTTGTTAGCCATCTGTATGTCTTCTTTGGAGAAATGTCTGTTTAGTTCTTTGGCCCATTTTTTGATTGGGTCATTTATTTTTCTGGAATTGAGCTGTAGGGGTTGCTTGTATATTTTTGAGATTAATCCTTTGTCTGTTGCTTCGTTTGCTATTATTTTCTCCCAATCTGAGGGCTATCTTTTCACCTTGCGTAAGTTTCCTTTGTTGTGCAAAAGCTTTTAAGTTTAATTAGGTCCCGGTTGTTTATTTTTGCTTTTATTTCCAATATTCTGGGAGGTGGGTCATAGAGGATCCTGCTGTGATTTATGTCGGAGAGTGTTTTGCCTATATTCTCCTCTAGGAGTTTTATAGTTTCTGGTCTTACATTTAGATCTTTAATCCATTTTGAGTTTATTTTTGTGTATGGTGTTAGAAAGTGTTCTAGTTTCATTCTTTTACAAGTGGTTGACCGGTTTTCCCAGCACCACTTGTTAAAGAGGTTGTCTTTTTTCCATTGTATATCCTTGCCTCCTTTGTCGAAGATGAAGTGTCCATAGGTTCGTGGATTTATCTCTGGACTTTCTATTCTGTTCCATTGATCTAAAAATATGGAATGCTTCACGAATTTGTGTATCATCCTTGCGCAGGGGCCATGCTAATCTACTCTGTATCGTTCCAATTTTAGTATATATGCTGCCAAAGCAAGCACTGCACAGTGTTTTTAATCTCAAGTATATATTTTTCATATCTGGGACTGGGATTGAAGGGGTTCAAGAGATGGGATTGACTGAGAATCCTAAAACTTGGAAAATATGAAACTTTTGGGATAAGGGTAGGTTTCTTTTTTATTAATTGCCTTCTTTATATGTCTATTATCTAACAAAGTAAAAATAAATTTGCAAGCATCTTATGGAAACTGTGCAAATGAGAGATCCTGAAAAGTTTCTAGAAAGCAAGGAATGGTAAACCATATTTATTACTAATTAAAAATATAAATATCACTTTTTACTTAGTACAACCATCATTTTAGTTAGCATTAAAAGTGACTTCTGGGTGCAGCCCCAGCCCAACCTAGATCCCCCACATCCCTCATCCCAATCTCCCCCA